CATACGGCCAAGGTTCCAAATCCATGCATCAACCGAGTCCAATTGGCAAAGAATAAGAAAAGAAAGAATGAGAAAAGAAAGAATAAGAATAAGAAAGAATGAGAAGGCTTGAACAAGCAAAGAAAAGAAAAGAAAAGAAAAACAAGAAAGAAAAGAGAAGCTTGGGCAAGCAAGATAAGAAAGAAAGAAAAGAAAAGAAAATAGAAAAAGAAAAGAAAAGAAAAGAAAATAGAAAAAGAAATCAAAAGAAGAAAGAAAATGCATTTTTATGCATTATTGCATATGCATGTCATTCATGCATATTACCATGTATTCTACCATGGTTAGAAAGAACAGAGAGAAGGGAAGAACAGTAAGAATTAGAAACGGAGAAAGAAAAGAGAAAGACTAAAAATGAAAGAAAGAAGAAAAGAACTAAGTAAGGAAAGAATCAAAGAAGGAGAAGAGTTAAGGGATTTACTTACTGAGCATTTTTATGCTCACCCCGTTGTTTTTCCATGTTTTTGCAGGAAATAGGTGAGCAGCGGTCAGAAGGGAGTCGTCAAGCGGAGAGAATTGACATTACTGTCCACCGTTACTAAGTTTTTGTACTTGTTGTTTTAGTATATGTAAAGAATTATATTTTATAAGTAAAGAAAAATTTGGGCCCAACTATTTTCATATGTTAATTATGTATGTTTTCATTGTATATGTTATAAAGTATACTAGTAGAAAGAAGTCATTGCATACCTGCAACTTCAATATTATCCTTTTTTTTTTTTTTTTTTTTTTGGTTAACAATAAAAATAAATAAATATAATTTTTTTCTAGCAAAATAAATCAAAGATTTAATGTTTACATACGAACATCTCAAAGGTCCATCATTTCAATAAAGGAAAAAAGAATTAACTATGGAGAAATAATTAATAAAAAATAAAAAATGTTATTGTGGTGGAAAAAAATTAATCCATGTGAGAAAACCATATAATTAAGGTGGAAAAAATTAAGAAAATAATTAAAATAACATATAATTATGCAAGATAATTATGTTGAGGAGAATTAAGGAAAAAAAAAAATTATTTGGTGGATAGTTTAATGCCATAGTTTTTTTTATCATTTAAATATTTTATTATTGAGTAATACTACTCATTCAATGTAGGGATATTATCAATTTAGGTACAACTTTTTCATGAAATACTAAAACATGGTACAATTTCAATTTTTTTTTCAATTTAAAGCCAAAACGAGCGAATTTTTAATTTGCTCAATTGAGGGACACTAAATAATAACCTTGTTTAATTTAGGATCACTTACTATTAATTGCAATTATATTTAATAAGATACGAGGGTAAATCAATTATTTGATCAAGTTATAAGAAAAATAAAAGCGAAATAAAGATTATTAAAATAATTTCATCCAATTAAATGCTGGCCCGTTTTAAAGATTTTAAAAATAAAATTAATACTTAAAAAACTAGAAAAAGAAAAGGACAAGCTAATGAGCTATTGGCTTTATCTCAGGCTAGCGGTGCGGTGGGCAAGGCCAAGTGTCGTTGGTCAAGATCGCCCAGATCTTGGCCTGGGGAAAAGCCAAACGGTTTCTTATTTTTATTTTTATTTTATGTTTTTAATTTGTTTTAATTTTTTAAATTTAAAAACAAAAATGGCTATTCTTTATTTCATGTAATTTTTTTAGTTTTCTTATTTTATTTTTTAATATTTAAACTTTGAAATCAAACAAATTTTCTAAATTTTTTTAATTGAGTTTTGTGTTTTTAAATTTAAAATTGAAAGATGGGGTTGAAATTAGTAAAGAACACTCCCGACATCGTATATTTTCCCCTAATAGAATTTTATGGCATGATTCTTTTGCAAACTTTAATAAATACTTAGAATTAATTAATTGCCTTTTTGTTATGTTGAAAAATCACGAATAACATCTGTACAGCTCAATTCCAAAGAAAAGTAGTTAACTCCAACAATTATAATAACAGAAAGGATACAGCCATCAAAGGTTATACATCAAATTTATGCACCAAATGACGTGACAAAATTCTGACTGTCAATTAATATTAAGTTAAAATTAATAAACGGTCAGGATTTTACCACGTCATTCAGTGCATAAATCCGGTGCACTACTTCGGTGACTGTAGCATTACTCTTATAATAATTACATGAACTGCAAATATAATCTTATTATTGCCAATACCTCATATATTATACCTTTTCTTTTTCTTTTTTGTTTTATCAATACATTAAATTCAAAAAGTTCAATTATAAAAATTTAATTTTAATTTTATTAATGTTGTGTGTGATTTTTCTATTAAGCTCGGTGAAGTCAGAGTTTCGCGAGGTTGTAATTAGACCTAGAATCAGTTCGGCTCAATACTTATCCAACCCAACATAAGCTCGTCGAGGTATATCTCGACCCAATACAAGCCAGTCGCGACCAATCCTAACAGTTGTTCGAGCAAGTCACAAATAAGCTCAAATCTCGGATATCTTCGGAAGAGATCAAAACAACGGCTATGACAGTTGATCTTAGCGCTTGATTACGAGAATATTGGAGTTGCATTGTAATTTTGACCGCTCGACGTGGTCACATGTCAATCATCCACAAAGAGCGATCAACCGTCATACTTCAACAATCATAATCGTCGTCACACGTCACCTCAACTTTACGTATAGATAGTTGTAGTTGTCCACGTGCAACGAAAAGTAACTGCAAAAGCCGGCTGCATTTAATGCGACATGACCAAGTGAAAATTACTCGCATGCCCCTTGTTTCAAATTCCAGGTTTATCGAGAATGTCACAGCGAAAAAAAGACTAAGTCTTGTTCACGTCAACTGAAATTAAGTCCAACTCATGAAGCTAAGCCAAATCTGCATTCAACATACAACTTGTGAAGTTCGAGCTTAATATCAAATCGAACAATTAGTGTTCAAAGCTCGAAACGAGCACCGAACACTAGGAGGCAGATGTTGTGAGTGATTTTTCCATTAAGCTCGGTGAAGTCAAAGTTATTAAGCTCGGTGAAGTTAGAGTTCCGCGGGGTTGTAGTTTGACCCAGAATCAGTTCGGCTCAATACCTGTTCGACCAAGCATAAATTCGATGAGGTATAGCTCGACCCAACACAAGCTAGTCCAAGCCTGATAGTTGTTTATGCAAGTCACAGATAAGCTCAAATCTCGGATATCTCGGAAGAGATCAGATCAACAACTATAATAGTGCAATCACGAGAATATCGAAGTTGCATTGTAATCTTGATTGTAATTCCTTTAATTTCGCTATTTCCTTTATATATATATATATATATATATATATATATAATATATATATATATATATTAATATATATATATATATATATATTATATATAATTATAATATATATATAAACTTGTATATAAACCCCCTCCAATGATGGAAGAGGGGTTAGCAAATTGTTCTGAGCACTATATTAATTTCTTGTAAGCTCTCTAAGTAACTAAGAAAAACAGTGAACGTAAGCTCAAGATTCAAATTTGCCGAACCACTTTAAAAACCTTTCGTGTTCTTTATATTATTGTTTTAAAATTCATTGCATTGTTGATTATCTATAATCATGCTAACATCGGTTCCGATTCCCACCAAGGTTAATTGGATCGCTCTTATTGGTGTAATTCTTGCATCAACAATCAATATCTCCATCTCACCCTAACTTGTTGAAGAAAAACTTTTGCAAAGGGGATATATGAGGTTATGAACAATATAAAATACTAAATATGTAGTTGCTTCTACATTTTGTCTTTTAATTTAATTTTTCTTCATTAATCTCCCAGAAAATTCTATTTCTAATAGACATTCCTACATGGTTATTTGTGAAGGTTTTTTATTTTTTATATTTTATTTCTCCATTACTTACTTAATTCATAAGAAAATAACATCATCTCTTATAAATTATTTGATTATTCTACATCTTGACCAAATCAAAGCCTCTTGTACTTTCCTATTACTTTCCCTCGTGGACATTTCTGCAACCTACCAAGACTATTTATTAAGAGCAAAATACAGATCAACAACTTTGATTTTATAGCAATTTGGCTTAGTTTGGGAGGAACATGCACTCATTTTTTGTTGCTTTATTGCATCTCTTCTCTGCGTGGCCTCACAGGTCAGTGACATATTTGCCAGTAACATAATTTAACATTATTTAAACTTTTATATATCTTTTATATTTCTTCCAAAATGGTTGATATATATTGATGAAGTTTTATTTTCCTGATTTAAATTAAGTTCTTGTCCATCTTGAAAGTGAAAGTTCCCGCGTGCCTTTTTTCTTTTCTAAAATCTAGAAATCCCAAGCCATTTGCTTTACAAGCTTGGTTTTGAAACTGGAGTCCTGATCGAACCCTACAATCTTTAGGAAGCGGGAAATAATGGCTTTTGGGAACCTACTCACAATCTGTAGGAAACGGAAAACAATGGCTTTTGGTTATGCAGGTGGCCATGGAGGGGCTCGAACCAGAGCATGCCTTGTTTTTGCATGAAACAACTTGAACTTTCATGCTAAATGTTGTTGCTAGAGGTCATAAAGTCTAAGTTCAAGGAACCTCAAAGACCGAGAAGAATTATAGAATTTTCAGGTTTTCGTTTGATTCCATGACTTAATCAGAATTTATTTGTAGCATATTTTCTTTAGAAGCCAAAGTTGACTGGGTGTTTGTTCATTTCAGAAAGGTCAGCAGGGTTAACTAATTCCAATTCTGCACTCTTTACGACTTAATTTTACATGGTTTTTAGTTCAAGAAGTTAATTGAACTAAAAACCAATAGAAACTTTGATAAAAACAATCCCATGTAGATGATTAGTATAATTGTTTCATACAAAATCATACGTAAGTTACTGAATCCTAAGCATTATTGAGCTTTCACATTCCAAAAGCATCGTTACTCGACAATTTTGGATCCATAGTATGTAGAAATGTTCATATCAATTGGCAGCTGACTAAATATATTTTGTAGCAGAAGCTGCTGAGTGATGGAAGATCTAAACAAGTTGTACCCAGGAGCCGCGCCCAATATTCCAATGTTTGAAATGAAGGGAGCAACTCTAGATAAGGTTCATCAATACCAAAAGTACTTAGTTTTCAAATTAATTGTTAATTAAAAATGATGTGCTTAATTTTAAGAACATTTCCAGCTTCTAAATGCTGATTAAGGAAATTAAATGTAGAAGCTGGCATATCTCTACAAGGCCTTGAAATCAGTCAGAGATTCATGGACAAAGAGCAACCAACTAATGGTTAAATTAGAGAACACAAATGTGGAGCAACTTGGTATGCTAATGCTAGTAGCTTTAAGGTTTTGCTCAATTTTCTTGATCTTATTGTTTGTAATATTAGTGAGACTTTTTTTTATCGAAATTTAATTCGGAATTCGCTCGCTTGAAGTTGGTGTTGGTTTTGTGTTGGCAACACTTGATTGCTTGGTTATGGCTGCAAAAGAATTGTTTGATATAAAGGAAGAGAATGAGACAGTTGAAGAATTAAAGGCAGGGGAGAAAGAAGTGAATGTGATGGACAAGTCTAGTATGAATGAGATAACCACCAAGAATGGAAAAGCTGATCAAATGGGAAAAGCAAATGCTGCTCTTGTACCTTCAAAAGTATCAATGCAATCAGTACCGCCGCCGCCGCCTCCTGTGCCTTCAAAAGGATCAATGCAACCACCACTGCCGCCGCCACCACCTCCTGTGCCTTCAAAAGGATCAACGCAACAAGTAACACCACCACCTCCACCTCCACCACCTATGCCTTCAAAATCAATGCAACCACCACCACCCCCTCCTATGCCTTCAAGAGGATCAATGAAACAAATACCGCCACCGCCACCACCTCCTATGCCTATGCCTTCAGAATCAATGCAACCACCACCACCCCCTCCTATGCCTTCAAGAGGATCAATGAAACAAGTACCGCCACCGCCTCCTATGCCTTCAAAAGGATCAATGCAACCACCACCACCCTCTCCTATGCCTTCAAGAGGATCAATGAAACAAGTACCGCCACCGCCTCCTATGCCTTCAAAAGGATCAATGCCACCTCCCGTGCCTTCAAAAGGATCAATGAAACAAGTACCGCCACCGCCGCCACCTCCTATGCCTTCAAAAGGAGCAATGCAACCTCCACCACCCGTTCCTGTGCCTTCAAAAGGATCAATGCCACCACCGCCACCACCTCCCGTGCCTTCAAAAGGATCGGCGCCAGCAACTGCACCGCCTCTGAAAAAGGGTCCTTGTCCCCCACCGCCTCCTCCCCTTGCTACTGCCAGAACCCTGAATCGAAAGGGCGCGAGTGCCAAGTTAAAGAGATCATCCCAAATGAGCAATCTGTTTCGAGACCTCAAGGGAAAGATGGAAGGGACTAATGTAGCTGTTAAATCAGCTCATGGAAGGAAGAAGCAGCTTGGAGGTTCTTCAGGTGGAAAACAAGGAATGGCTGATACATTGTCTGAATTGACAAAGAGGTATGCTTTTCTTCACAACTAACTTTAATTGATGCATGTGTATGAACAAAATAGATCTTCAAAACATTAGCTGAAAATGAAGGAATTTGCAACGTTACAGTAGCTTTTTGCAATTCAGAAGATAAAATATGTTAAATAATTTGCTCTTTTTTCTTCTTTGGCACCTTAGATCATCATACTTTCAACAAATTGAAGAAGATATTAGAAAGCATTCAAAAACTATCATGGAGTTGAAGGTAGCCATAAGTTCTTTCAAAGCAACGGACATGGTTATGCTGGTGAAGTTTCAAAAGAGTATAGACTCTTTCCTTGAAGTATTAACAGATGAATCACAGGTCAACAATACAATTAAAAATTTTCAATTTATTCCAACTTTTTTAATAATTATTAGTCTGCAATGAATTGTTAAATTTCATGAGCATGACCTTAGAAAAATACTTAATAGTTGTTGTAGGTGCTATTAAAATTTGAAGATTTTCCCACGAAGAAGCTGGAAGCATTAAGGGCAGCATCAGCACTCTACTCCAAATTAGACTTAACGGTCATTAATTTGAAGAATTGGGAGATATTGCCACCATTGGAACACCTCTTGAACAAGTTTGATTGTTATTTCTCTAAGGTAAAGTTCAAACTTCAATTAGTCCTCAATTTTGCAACTGTGAGACATTTAAAATGAAACTCATCTGCTTCCTTCAAAAAGTAAAAAAAAAACACTTTCTAAAAGATCAAAAGCTCTCCAGTAAAGGGTTATTTAATATTTTTTTAACGTAACTCATGCGGTTTATTTAAGCAATCTAATAGGACAAAAATGAAATAAACCCTTTCGCATATTGCAAGCTTTAATTATGTAAATGTCAGTAGAAATCTGTAAAATTTTGTACTTTTTTATGTAAGTGAATTCATTAAAAGACAAAATTTTACAAACTCTTGCACGCAAGAGATTAAACTAGATATTGATTTATATAATCTTCAGTTTTTTTGGCTAATTATATGAAGGTGAAAGTGGAAGCGGATGCATTAGAAAGGATAAAAGATGAGGAAGCGGAGAAATTCAAGAGTCAGAATATTGATTTTGATTTCAATATGCTTACACTCATCAAGGAACTCATGATTAATGTTTCATCCAGTTGCCTAGAGCTGGCTCTTAAGGTATTTTACTAGTTTTTTTTTTTTTTTTTTTTTTTTTCAATAATAAATGTTAGAGTCTCACACCAACTAGACACACTCAAGCCTACTAGATTATAAGAGGAGGTAATCATTCCATTCAACAAGGCCTTATTGGATGAGGAGTCAGACCCACCTTAAATTCTATCATGGTATCAGAGCCTAGGTTCATTTAAGCTGAGTGTTGGACCAGCAGGTGAGGAGTTAAAGTCAACAACTACCTCCATCAATAGGCATGACCCAACATATGGGCTTGACCGTAAGAGAGAGTGTTGAAGTCTTACACCAACTAGGTACACTCAAGTCTACTGGTTTATAAGAGGGGGTAATCCTCCCATTCAACAAGGTCTTATTGGGTAAGAAGTTAGAACCACCTCAAATTCTATTAATAAAAAAGCATTTATGAACCTCTCTACCTTCACAAACCACCATTAGACTGCCATTATACTCCTTCAAGAGTTTTATTAAGGTTGTGTTTACCATGGTTTTCATTTTCGTTTTCTTGTTCTCTATTTTCATTCTCTATTTTATTTCATAAAATGCGTAATACTTTTTTACTTATAGTTTTCGTTTCCTAACAATAAAAAAAAAAAAAAAAAAAAAGAATCTATGAATAATTAAACGATTGCAAATACACAAAATTAAATAAATATATAAAAAGTTATTTTATATGTTTTCATTCTCTATTTTATCAAAACACTTACACATATATCTCACTAAAACAATAACAAATACTATTTTTTTAAGATAATAATGAATGCATTTTCAAGTTTTGAAAATACGGAATTAAAATTCTTATTTTCATTTCCGAAATCATTTTTGAAAACAAAAACACTAAATACAATTATGTACATCACCTTAAAAAGTTTGATGGTATGTTATCCTTTTGCTTGATTTCTTCAAAGTGAAAAAGTGTTGGGTTGATTAAGTGGTCTTCTACAGACATCTTTAAAAATAAGTTCCTTTTTTATATTTCACACCATAAATCACTTATAAAAAATTCTTTAATAAAATCACTCTTGACTAAGATTTATATAATTCTTTTATTATACGATAGGAAAGGAGAGAAGCAACAATGGGGAATGAAGAAAAAAAGGGAAGTATAAAATTGCTATGGAGAGCTTTCAAATTGGCATTCAGGGTTTATAGTTTTGCTGGTGGCCAAGATGATCGTGCTGACTACTTAACTAGAGAATTGGCTGGTGAAATTTTGGCTCATTCTCCCAATCCATAATTTTCCTTTTTTTTTTTTTTTTTTTTTTTATCATTTTGAAAAAGAATCATTCATAAAGTTGTAAATTTGTTAGATATATAGATTTAATTCTAACCCATTTGTGTAAAATGTAAAATCACCATTTGTTATTTAAAATTGAATTAAATTAAAAAAGGCAAAACCCAAGTCATAGGCATACCTACCTTATGACTCATTTTTTTGTGAAAATCTTACTGTGATTAACACATTTAATATTAATGCTTTGAATTTTGACCTTTGACCTTTAATTTTCAGTTAATAAAAAATTATTAGTTCAATTTTAAAATCATATAGTTTAAAAAAGACCCATAGGATTTGGCCATTTTTTTTATTTTTTTTTAACTTCAAATTCATAAGGTCTAAACTAATATGGATAAACAAATGACTTATATTAACTTAATGTGATATTATTTTGTGGGCGTCAAAAATCAGCAACCGACCTTAGCTCAGATGGTAGAGCGGAGGACTGTAGTCGGGTAAAGCTCACGGCAAATCCTTAGGTCGCTGGTTCGAATCCGGCAGGTCGATATTTTTTCTTATTTTGTTGGGGTAGATATCACAAGGACGCCTTGTAGTTTATTATATTGTCAATTTCCCCCCATTTTTGATTACTATCAAATATTCCCAATAATTTCAAAAGATTTTGGGTAATCAACTAACAATATACTATACTTACAAGATTTTCATACAAAGTGAGGTGGTAAAATAGAATGGAAGAGTGAACAAAAAGTCAAACTCATTAAATTATTCTTCTTCTATTCATTTTTTGTCATATCACTTTGTATGAGATTTTTTAAAAATTTTTTTGTAATGTAGTATTACCATCAACTAATCATCACATAAATTATTCACATTCCCTTGATATTTGCCATTAACATAATGATGTTCATTAATGAACCATGGTATAGTTACTGATGAAATAAAATTTAGGCAATATATTTATTATCCACATATAATTGTTGTAATATGCCTTTCTTATACAATTTTTTTTTTCCTACATGATTTCAAAGATTCTGGATAATTATCATAAATCTCCTAGAACATTAGCAAAATTCAAAGGTTCTAAGTAATTTAGCCTTTTTGTTTTGGAAATCGGGCAAACTCACCAGCTTTGGGGGTTTAAAGAAATACCTTGTTTATCACATTGACCACTAAGCCTAAAGAATGACCAAATTCTTGTTATCTTTATTACATCACTCATTTTCTCTCTAATATATTTTTCAACCCTTGGCTATTTTTTACACCCATTAACAATAATCACTAACCCACAAATACGAAAAACAAATTAAAAAGGTTTGAAAAAATAAAAATAAAAAGTTTTGTTGAGTCTTTAAAATGGGTAAGTTTATCGAATTTTTTTTTTTTTAATAGATATTCACAATGTTTAAATTGATTTATAATTAGGAATCATGCATTCTGATATGTATGTTACATTGATAAAATCATGAAAACAAAATGATTGATAAAATATAAGAAAAAATATTCTAGTTTCTACATGGTAGACAAGCAGTTCTCGAATTTTTTAAGAATTTATTTCTTTAGAAGAAAGTTATATAACCTCTATGACCAACTTTAGTTAAAATATATTGTTTATATTTTACACTTGTTTGTGTGTATATTGTAATTTAAGAAATTACGGAGGTTTTATTCTTTAATTTAAGTATACAATGAATTTTACCCTAAAAGGTGAAAATAAATCGCCAAATCTCAAGTTTCTCATTCAACCAATGAAAAACTTGATACGCTTGAGATAAACTCCAAAAATCTTAAGTTTTTCATCAATTAGATAAAAACTCAAGATTTGTTGATGTGTTTGATTTTTTTTATCTTCAACAATACATTTTTTAAGGTTTCAAATTATAAAATTAGACAAACCACCATTTTCACAGGTTTTTACCTCAATGCATCATATTTAATCATCTAGTGACAACATAACAAATAAATTACATCATTTCAATAATATAGATGAAGATTTGTGTGTGTGTTGTGTAACAAGAGGGTATTTATGTCTTTTACGCCCGGCGATTTTGGGTCAGAAAACGAATCTTTAGTTCTTTACCGTACTTGTCCGAACCTCTGGGTTTAGTTAAACTTTTCCCAAACTGCAAGGATGTAGATGTCATAAACTCTAACCATACTTGAACGTCACTTCTTCTCAGGTCGCAGCTCACAACAAACGATCACAAACCCAGAATCTCACAGACACTGAATTCGGAGTCAAGCCAATTCCGTAATCATGGTAAGATTTACTCACAAAACTTGATTGGATCTCGTTTATAGTCTGTTCTTGATGAGTAATTTTGTGTTTCGTAATCTTTAATCGCATTTAGGCCAGCTCATTGCGATTGTATCTGGCGTGCATTCGCAAACGCTTGATGCCGCCATGTTTGTTTGCAGGTACGAAATGCCGTCGTAATTTGATGTGATTGCTCTGAATTGAGAGTTTTAGGTTTGTTTATTTGATGTTTGATTGATTTCATAAATAAATTTTTGTTTGTTGTAGAACTTTCCTTGTCAAGAAGTTGAAAGACATAATAAGCCAGAGGTTGGTTAAGTACGTTTACCGCCTCAATTTCTCGCTCTTGTGTTGCTTAATTATACTGGTTATTGCATTGTTTGGATCTGTATGTGTTGGAATGTGTTTTGTTTGCACCATAAGTTGAGATTCGCTGTGAAATTCCATTAACATCACTAAATTTTATAAGTGGCTACGCTTTGTATTGGAGTGAATCTATTGAAATTAATGCTTTGCTTGATTGCTTTAATTTTGCTGTAGTTCATAAAATCACGGTATTATTTGCAAAATCCAAGTCGAGTCAAATATGAACATACACATTGGATTTTGCCTAAGTATATTTTCGTTTCCATGTTTGCTGGCACATGCATGTATTAAGTTAGGTTGTTTCTTAAGATCATGGATTAAGTTTTATGTACTGTTAAGCCTATGAAGTCTCCCATAGTGATAAAATTAAAGGTATTCTGGAATTTAAAGATTTGATTTGGCTAACATAATGCTAAGAAATTCGAGACATTGATTTAAAAATCCTAAGGTAGAATATCACCAAAACATTGTATGAATAATGAACATAATATTTATTAAAAGTAAAGGAATACTTTTTTAGATAATTTTTAATGATAAGTTTCACTCAACGTATTATGTTATGTAGGTAGTCAATTTTAAACAAGTACATGAAAATAGCCTTTTTCCTTGGGGTTTAGCTCTGATGATAAATTAGTTTTATAATTGAAGAAATAATGTAGTCTGGTGGTTAGCTGCCCATTTATAGCTTCTTCTTCCTAGATTCTACACATAAGCCTGTATTTACATAATATTTGTAAGAATTAATTCTGAATATCATAGAAGCACATAAGTTGGATTTACGGATTCATGGAAAATTCAATTACAACCAGGAAATTCAATTTGAACTTTTGGTGCCATCTGCAGCCCAGGGATTCTATCTATTAATGGTTATTATTGAACAGTACTTTCTTTGCATATGGCTGTTTCCAATTTATCTTAATGCATCCGTTGCTGCTTATTCTACTTGATCCAGTTTTTATAGCATTTTCTGCATCATCACAGTTTTTGCTTCCAGCATAGCATATTTTTCTTCAGCTGATTTAATCTTTTCTTTGCTGTTGCAGGACCAGCCCTGAACTTCTACTGAATCCTGTAAGAACCATTATCTGGGACAATATATTTTGTTCCTCCATCTTAGTGGCTCATTTTGATAGTTCCAAAGCATAAAATTCATGATGCTGTCATTTCTTGAATTCTATTTCGTTTCCATGACTAGTCTAATGTTGGAAGCCTCAACAGTTTTAAATTTTATATTTAGGGGCTTGAGCAAATACTTAAAATATACTGGCCTTTTCAATTTATAACGTGATCTCTTCTTCTTTGAAACTGTATACACATTATTATTTACATTTATCTATATTTTTAAAGCCAAATGGTGTAATAAAAGACACTCTCCATGCTCGATACATGTTACCTATCTAATGAACAATGTTCTACCCTTTATCATCTTTTAATTTGGTATAGAAGATTAGTAGTTGAAGCAATTGATTATCACGTTCTTCTGATTGTAAAATTAATCTAGCTGGTGACTAATCATATTCTGTATGGTTTTTGTATGTTCTGCAATTTCAGTTTTTAGTTGTGTTAGGAGAATCTACATTTGTACATAGGTGGGATTTCAAAAATGGGCTAATTAGTTCTTACTCTTCTTTTTAATTAAGAGCTTTAAGATTTATTCTTTGCAGTTATTGTGTAGCGTAAATTTTAATTGTCTATGGATTTTATTTTCATATGTGAAATTACTGTTGCAGATTTTGATAGGTCGAAATGAAGCTGAAAAATGTTTAATTGAAACATCTATCAACTCACTTCGCATAAGCCTAAGGTGAATATTTATCATCTATCTTGGATCCTTTCTTGTGACAGACAAATGCTGGAAAAAAGAATTGTTTATTTTATGTACTTCTTGCTTATGCAAGAAAGCATAGGGATTTTGCCATCCGTGTGTTTGAAAATATGGTTGGCACCCTTATAAGTTTACTGAACTTTGAATATTTCAGGTGTCCCATTTTCTCCTTATACACATGTATTTTTTTCTGTTTGTAGGTAAAGCAGGCAGATGAACTTGAAAACTACTAACTAAAAAGTTTCTCAGATTTTGTCAATGAGGGCAGAAGCATTTCAAGTGTTGAGGAGAAAGCCAGTACAGGTATGTGGTTTTATCTTATTGCTTTTTGGATACATAATGCTGCTAGACAAACTCAAATGATTTCCAATTTGCTTAGAACCATCAGTTTCCGAACAACACATCTACAGGTATTTTGCTATTTGTAAGGCTTGCTAATTACGGGCAGGAGAATGCTATTCTTGAGATTCAAGTGATCTCTATTTGACTTTTGGTAAATTGGCTGATTTTGTTTTATTTAGACATTTTCTGCTCAAATCTTTTATGTCACACTGC